CCGGCAACCCATCACAAGTTGCCCTGGCAGGGTTGCCAGATAAAATCCAGGATGCCCTGTTAACTTCAGATATCAGACAAAAAACAAATGATTTTTAAGTATTAGTATGCCCCAAATACTGTCTGGTCCATATGAAGAGTGAAAAATTCTTTGTCATGTATCCAAAATTCAAAGTTAACTGGGTGTTTGGTGGTTGTATTTGCTAAACATGACAACCCTAAGTAGTAGCCGACTTGCCAATATGGCGTGGAACAGGCTCTGCTTCCTTCCCTGCTTGGCTCCCTGTCTCTCATCCAGCTCCTGGGGGTCACATCCACAATACAGAACAGGTAGGCCTTTGCCTTGGCCCCAGCTTTCTGGGAACCCAGGCTACGACCCAACTGGTCAAGGGTTTTTCCAGGCAGACAAGGTAGCCCTAATGTGCCCAGCTTTCCTGTGAAGTGGGGACTGCTGCTATCAGCATGGCACTCAAATTACAAATAAGAAAGCCAAGGTTCAGCGACATCCATCCGTTTGCCAGGACTCACACTCTACCGCTCCAGCTCCACCAATCTGTTACTCTGAAAGAGTTTTCCAGACTATTCTTGGGAGACATTTCAGCATTATTAGAAAAGGCATTAATTGGCTTAGGTAATCATTGATTCTTTTAATAATTACCTCCACTTGTTGAAAGAAACCCCCTCAGCCACGCTGTCAAAGGGATCCTGTGACATACGCACTGGAGAATCAGTCTCAGTGCAGCTGTAATGTCAAGATGTTCAGTGTCTCCTGTTTTATGCTCGTTGGAATGGTCAACGTTAAAACATGAAGTTTTCAACTTCAGATCTTCACAATGAAACCAGCAGTTTGTTATTATTTCTGCATATGACTAAATATAATGTTGTTCATTTTAAAAGTAATGACTGATTGCGAAGAGATACATGCAGAGAGCCTTGAAATTACAATTGCCTTTCACCTGAATCAGAAACTCAGTTCCCTTTTCATGCATTTCCCTGTAAGTTCGCCTCTGAAAGAGCTGAAATACTGTAAACTACCAGTTGGGACAGTTGGAGAAAAACAGCAAATATTAGAGAAAACCTATGCCAAAGCACCTGCACCCAGTGGGTATACACAGGAATGTAACCTTCTCCAAACTTTCAAAAACAAAGCCAAACCTTGGCTGCAAATAAGCCTCAAATGAGAAAGAAACTCTCATTTGCTTCTGAAAAATGGGAAAGGCTGTACTTTATCTACAAGGTGTTCTTTTCCTTGTAAACCATGTGAAACAGATCTCTTTTTTGTTCTCTTTGTCTGCTGGAAACTTCATTTTGAAGGAAGGAAGTTACAAGGAATGAACCACCTTGTAGGGGCAAGAAAATCTTTCTCCACAGTGTGGCTGGATTTGCTCCTGGAAGCAGCCACTTTGGTAGGTCTCTCCAATGAGGCTTTTTCTCACAACAGCCCAGGGAAGCAGATGGATTAGATGGCTGGCTCTGGTTACCTGTGGCTGCCTGCCCAGTCCCCTGGGCATTCCAAGTTCCCACCTTCCACCTGGCCCATGACCTCTGACCCTGGCCCTGTAGCCAGCAAGGGTGTGGGGAAAGAGCGGGGTGGGTATAGGTATCAGGCTGCCTGGGCCCAGGCTACAAATGAAAGAGTCAGTTGTTTTCATGTTGCATGCTCTCTTGTGCGGTCCTGGGAGCTGCAGAACTGGTATTTCTCCAAATCCTGGCGGCTCGCATGGCTGTGTAGACAAGCTGTACTTACAGTGATACACATGTATGTGTGTTGCATGGAAATCAGCAGTCCTGCTTCCAGTCCCAGCTCTGCCTCGCCTCGTTCTGGGACTTCAGAGAGCCCCTTTGCCACTTCAAGGAGCCTCAGTTTTCTCATCTACAAAATGGCACAGTTGGATCCTTGTAGGTGCTTGGGAAAGGGTGGGGAGTGGGGTGCAGAGTAGGGGCTGCTGACCAGGCACTTTCCTGCCATCCTCTATAATCCTGCTCACCACCACCCCAAGGGCAACAAAAACGACTCCACCTTCATCTGTCTTATATTTTATATTTTCACATAAAACCTTCTCAGAAGAAAAATTTCTGTTGGCTTATAAAACCCACTGGACTAGGTGATCTCTAAGTGACCTATGAAATTGATTATTCTGTAATTCCGTGATTCCAAAACAAAAACACAGACTTAGCCTCTTTAAAAGATTGTGTGCTGTTTGGGAGGGTGAGAAAATTATGATATATATATAGTGATGTGTTTCTGATACTGAAGATTCTCTTATGCGACACCCCCACCTCCCACCCACCACAAAGGGAACATATAAAGTTTCCAGAGTCCTAGCCCCCTCCTTTGTTACACCTGATAAAGGCTCACATGTTAATTATTTAGCCAACGGTGCTAACTGGAACATAGTCATATGATGAAGCTGCCTTGAAAACGTTTCCGCGTGTAACATAAGGCTTTTGCAACTTAAACATATTTTTTTCTTCTTTCATATCAGCAGTTATTTTATGGAACTGGGCTGAGACAGCTTAACAACAAAGGGCACTGGGTTGGTGAATTATTCATGTAATCTACATTTCCTGGCTGCTGTGGATAATTGACAGGTGTCATGTCACCTTTTACAAACATCCCACAATTATGGACCATATATCAGTGTTGGACTTCGAAATAATGCTCCCTTTCTAAGCTAGTTTCATATTTTATTTACAGCTTGGTGGCATTTTTGACTTGGCTGCCTATTTCTCTCACTTTTGATTCCAAGCCTTTTGCTCCACTTAATATAACCAGGAACACTTAAATAATGAGACTCCCTCTCAGTTTGCTAAAGACAGTCATTCATTGCTGCCGTGTCTTATTCATTCAGCCATTATGTTAGTCAATTTCTTGATTTAAGAAATCCAGGATGAAATGCAACTGCAAGGAAACCATGATATACATTTTTTTTTATGACTTGTTTTGTTCACAAGGAAAAAATCAAAAGCAAATCTTCCCTGTGTCTGACAGAAGTTGTAAACTGTTGGGGAAAGTTGGCTGGTTAAAGAATATGACTTAGTTAATAGGAGCAATGGCATATTTCAAATCTCTACCAGAGTTGGAAGGTTTCTAGCATTAGAAACAAAGCCAAGGAGAGTTCTATTTAGTCCTACTGAGAAAATCAGGTAAGAAAATAAACCTGTGATTGATAACCCTGAAGACTAATGAGAGAACATAGCCATACATGAAACTGAAACATTCAGAGCAAACTGGAACCTTCGGAGTCCTCTAGTCTACCTTTCCACTTTAGCCATCAGGAAACTGAGGCCCAAGGCATGCAAAGGCTTGTCCACCATCCCAACACCAGTTAGTGGAAAGGCTACAAGCCAGGTCAACTGGTTCCTCCTCCAGCACTGTCACTGTTCTGCCTTGGCCTGGAGCACTCTCCTTATCTCCTGGGTTTCATTCACTTCTTCTACTGCCAGTGATCATTGACTCTTCCTTGGGGAGATTCACCCCTTCCTAATACTCAACTCTGTGATTTGTGTAGAATTATTTTAAACTCACTCTCGACATGAGCATGATTGACTAGGTCCATCAATTTTCTTGGATGAAATGGCCACATGACCTAAACTGGACCAGTGAGAGACAGTGAAACCCAGCACTTGGATGGGAACCGTTGGAAGAGATTTTCAGTCCCACTAGATTGGCTGTTGTAAGGGTGTGAGGTCTGGGGCTGCTACAGATACTTTGCTACCAATATGGAAAGAGGCTGGAGCTACAGGGAGTGGGTGGGGAAAATGTATCATGTGATGCCTGCGGGTGAAGCTTGCCAACACAAAACAACTGGGCAGAGAAAGCAAACCTGGGTTAAGTAAACATATCATTTATCTTCTAAACCAGGACAATTCTGAGAATGAAAAAGGGCAGGACAAAGCTAAACCAGACAGGATGCCGGAACAGTAGGCATAAACAGAACTGTTCTGGGCAAACAGGGACACACAGTCATCCACTCTACGATGACACTGTCTGAGCTGCTAGATTAAGCCTTGACTCTGAATTCAGCTGGCTGTATTAAGCTAGCACTCTATTTGGCCTTTTTAGTCTAGGTGACAATGAACTCACTTCATTGTTGAAACCAATTTGAGTTAAGAGTATTGTAACTTGTATGTAAAGCTTTAACTTACACAAATACGCTGCTTCCTAAGTGTTACACTTTCTAAAATCTTGTCCTACGTCATATCAGAAGCTTATAATTAACGATTGTTATTGTATGTTTTTCGTATGTTTTCACTCATAAGTGTGAGCTAAGCTATGAGAATGCAAAGGCATAAGAATGATACAATGGACTTTGGGTACTCAGGGAGAAAGGGTGGGAGGGCGGGTGAGGGATAAAAGGCTACAAATTGGGTTCAGCATATACAACTCAGGTGATGGGTGCACCAAAATCTCACAAATCACCACTAAAGAACTTACTCAGGTAACCAAATACCATCTGTTCCCCAAAAACCTATGAAAATAAAAAAAATTTTGAAAAAAATGCTTTAAGAAAAAAAGATGATTATTATATGTTTTACTTTTATAAATATTAAAACTTTAACTTTTATTTCAACTAGTACAAACTGTCATCTTACAGAGAAATTCCAAACTAATTATCTTATTTACACCAGTAGCCCTGTGAAATAAGTATCATGTAAGATTTGGGGAAGTTAAAAAATTAACCCAGACTCTTATGGCTAATGTGGCAGATATGTAGTGGTGGCTCTCTGGGGGGTGAAAACCCACAACACTGATTTTTATTCTTTGCCAACTTCTATGGTGTAACTATCCCAATAAAGAATGATCTCAGGGTATCAACCTAACATCGCTGAACATAGAGTTGGGAAGCAATATCTGGTTCTCACGAGCCAGCTGTGGTGTCCCATTGCATGTAGAGGTCATCCAAGGCTTCTGATTCCCTTTCATCAGTTCTTCTCATTTTTCTGCTCCTGCAGTTTGGTGTAAGGCAGTTCTGAATTGTGCTGTCTTAACAATTGCAGATGTGCCCCAGAGCCGGTGGTGCAAGAGGCCTTCAAAGGAGAGTTCACCAGAACAAAACAGCAGTGACCAAGCCAGTCCAGAATTTGCATTTCTCCAGCCTGTCCTCATTGATGCCCACCCTGGGCAGGAACTGCAGCTGGGACTTGAGCATTTGCTGTGCTCCCTACTTGGAGGTGACTACTTCCTGGGGCCCCCCACTTCCAGGTTTTCTGCCCTGCCTCCTGGACCACTATGTGGAATAGCCATAGGGGCAGTAATATAGAAATGAATGGTCTTAGAGTTCTTTTCCTCTGCCTTGGAGTCCTTCAGGCTGGCTGAGGACTACAACAGTCTTTGCTATTCTCTGATCATAGCTGTCAGAGCTAGGTCCCCTGCAGTGAGGGGGACACTTCCAAGCCCATTCACACTCATTATCTCATTTGAAGGTATTGACTGCATTGTGTGCTAAATGCTTTGCCTCAGCAGAGAGAGCTTGGAGAACAGTTGAGTCATGTGAAAACCCTGGTGGCAGCAACCTAATTTGCAGTCGTGGGGCTTAGGGGAAATTAGCCAGTCTTTTTTTTTTTTTTTTTTTTTTCAAATATGCACTAAATCTGCAAGATAGAACTTGACAGCTTTCATTTTACAGAAGAGGAAACTGTGACCAACTTCAAGGCACCTCTTAGGGCCGAAGAAGCCGATGTGTAGCAGGTCACCTGTCAGGAGGAATTTGCCCTTTTTTTTTTTTTTTTTT